TGAAGACCTCATAGCAGCTTTCCAGTACCTGAAGGGGGCCTATAAGGATGCTGGGGAGGGACTCTTCATTAGGGACTGTAGTAATAGGACAAGGGGAAATGGGTTAAAACTTAAACAGAGGAAGCTTAGATTGGATATCAGGAAGTTCTTTACTGTGAGGGTGGTGAGGCACTGGAAGAGGTTGCCCAAGGAAGTTGTGAATGCTCCATCCCTGGCGGGTGTTCAAGGCTGAGTTGGAGAGAGCCTTGGATGACATGGTAGTGTGAGGTGTCCCTGCCCATGGCAGGGGGTTGGAACTTGATGATGTTAAGGTCCTTTCCAGCCCTAACTGTTCTATGATTCCATGAATTTACCTCTCCTCCTCCAGATCCTATGACTTTTACCCTTTTACCAATGGCATTGTCTCTGTTCTCCAAAGTTTCTTTACATCTATAGAGATCACTTTTTAAAGAGAAAATCTGGATCTGCAGCTGTAGTGCAAGTTTTGGGGCTACATGACTCTGAGGAAGCTTAAGAGAAGAGAACGTTTTGTCACATTGATCATAATAGAGACAAAAGGTTAATAATCTGCAGCAAGGAAAGTCACCTTACTGAAACAGAACATTGTGTTGTGTAGTCCCAAAGCATTACAAAAGGGTTACTGACTTTTCCTTTAAGCTTTATATGATTTAACATCTGCATCTTGCATCTGAAAACCAAAGTGCTTCAGTCTACGATGCCTGGAGTTCTGTCCTTTTTATTTCACATGAAGGTCTTTGGACTCCTGGAAGGACACCGATTGCTCAGATACCACCTTTCAGGTTATAATCAGGAGGGAATGTAAGTAAATGTTTGTTGCGGACGTCATTCAGATTGCTATTTGGAAGCAATGCACTGTGAAGCAGCAGTTCCCAGAGACTGATCTGAAAGACCAAGCTAATTGATTAGGGAGCCCTACATCCAAGTGGGATGACTCCTTCTGGGGCTGTGGAACAGCACTGCACTGATATAACCAGGAAAACAAGATTGATCCCTTAGTACACAACAGATTTTGCATGAGAACCTGCTGCTTCCACAGTGGTTCACCAAAAAAGCCCAAGAACAGATCGTATCAAGCATAGATGATGCAGTGAAACATCATCAGACTACAAAATGCAGTATTCAGTGATTGAAACAAGGGCTCCACATACCAAGACATGCCTTATGCTGAAAACACTGAACACTGAACAGCATGTGTACTGCTGAAGTTAAAAAATAAACCACACTGAAGAACTGTGAGGCATTAAACCACACAGCTCAGAACAGACTCTCAGAAAAAATCAGTTTGGTCGACTTTTGGTGGGAGGCTAGTACACTATGCATGTGTTATAAATAAAATATAGACATTTCTTTCTGTGAGAAAAAAAAAAAACCAACTTTAAAATAAACTGGTTTCTTTCAATTTGTGGTATTTATGTGAGAAAGCTTAAGCACTGGGTAGCCTCCTCAGTAGCAGCACTATTTACAGTGTAGTTTTCTGTTTGGAGACCTTTTCTTCTTTGAGGTTTCCTCTTTCAGAGCTGATGAGCTCTTAGTCCATTTTAGTTCCCAAAAGCTGCTAGGTTTATTAGTTCTGTTACCAAACTGAGCTAGAGGAAAACACGTTTTTGCCTGCTTTAACGTCACAGGCTGATTTTTAATATCATATGCTGGTTTTTGCCATTTGAACATGCAACTCAAACATTCTTAACGCTCAAGCCCTCCACACAATTATATTTTGACACTATATTCACTCAGTCCAACTGATACACATATATATATATTTTCATGTGAAATTACTCCACGAGACGATAGCAAAGACACTGAGACTCTGTACTTTTCCCTAAATCTTACTAATATTTGTCAACTACATTTAATAAGCAAAAGTATGAGTGAATTGAGATACACAAGTAGTACTTCCTCACCATCTATAATCTTCTTCCTTAACAAAAAATATTGCAGGCACTTATAGCAAGCATATATGCAATGACGGATGGTAAGCTGGAGAAGCACTTAAAAAAATTCCAAGAATGCTCCTGAAATTTGAAGAGGGACAACATCTTTCTCCCTCAAGCTTAATTCTTAATGTATATACAAGGGATAGAATCTCGCCTCCCTGGCGCAGAGGCCAACTTGCAGAGTAGTTTGTATCCACAATATTTATCTTCTAACCTCACAAACAGGCTGGTAATGTTCAAAGTGCCCACCAGAAATGGTCCCTTGCCAACTCCTAAATTGTGCACAGGCCAAAGTCTGTGCCAGCAACTGTTCTACCAACTAACTGTACAGATGACTGAGCTACAGTGCTGCAGAAAACTTCCAGCGCTACTGAGTCTAGTGACTTAAGATGTAGTGTGACTGGCTTAATGCTAAGCTTTTAACATACTTATTTTGGCCTCTTAAGTCAATGTGATTCCTTTAACCTTTCTTAACTACTTATTTTAGAAGGAAACAATCCCTCATGAGTTTTTGTTTCTCTAGGTATTTTGGCATAAAGCCAAACGTTTTGTGACTGAAATATAGTGAGATGCACTTCACACCTCATGTCATTATGGTTACTGAAGCAAGTGCAAAGCAGGTACAAGAAAAACATAGTGTAGAACTTTGTGATTTTTAGCCTTGGCAGCATATAAAGTATGATGCAAAGCTGAAGTGTGGTCTCTGCAAATGACAACAATCGCATTTAACATGCTTTGTCAGATTCTTCTCTTGACGATCCAATACAAACCAATGCTGAAACACCATTTTTAAAGCACATGGCATTTATGTAAGCTTGCAATAGTCACAATAACCATGAAAACCCCAGTGTTAGAGGCATTTTTCCCTCTTTATTGTCTCATTTGCAAGTATGACAATGTTGTAGTATGATAATGCCTTGAGTAACCTTTGTACAACATCCCTGAAGAGCAATTAAACTTCAGGATAGTTACAACTAGCATAAGCCAAAAGCTTGTGCAACTAAAAGCAGAATTTGATCTGCAAAATGAGCCTGAACAGCAGCAATGGATAAAAAGAACCTGTCTTAGAGTTCAGAAGGAGTTTGCAGAGTGGATGTATGAATTTCCACCCCCACCTGGAATTTACTGTAGATCAGTACATCCAAGATTATGTTGCAGGGATATCTTCTGTTAATAAGTTATTTTAGCAGTAATTCTTCAAAGCTTAAAAGTAAAAATAACATTTGCTCAATATGCACATAGATGACATCATTGTATTTTATAATTTCACTTTTTTCATGTGCTTTTATGACTAGTTCAACCTACAAATTATAAATTTATAATTAATGCTAGTCTTTAATCTGAATAATTAATACAAATAATGTCCCCCAGTTAAGGTTTGAAGCTGGTGACTGTTATCTTGGAAATAGGATAACTGAATTTTGCATAGCACTGTTCTCCAGTATTAGGAAGCTGTGAAGTACTGTCTTTCATAAAAACAGTATAATAGTTTTCATTTCCAATACTTACCTTCAGATATAAATCTTTAAAATTTACTGATTTTATCAATTTGCCAGTTCTGTTAATTAATTACATAAAGTGAATTAAATCACATCATAAATATTGGTATCTCAGCACTGTAGCATATTTGGGTAGAACACAGCACTCTTAAATAACTACACTATTTTAAAATTTTTTGTGCCTGTGCAACTTGCACAGATTTGCCCAAAACGACAGTCCTTACTTTCATAATCTTCTTCCTCCCTCTGTTTAAAATCACTTAAACTATACAGTCAACACTTTTGCTTAAGGCATAGTGAATACAGAGAACATGTTCTCTGTTTATGTTCTGCTTAAGCTTCTGATAGTTCTGATTTACTGGAATTTTCCTTTTAAAGAGGTTAAGTACATACCTTTGAAAGCCTTTAATTTAATCTATTATTTTAGATGCCACAACTGTCACTTTTAAATATATATGAGATTTAACACATCATTTGCAACATTTATCTTTTGCAAATTCTACAAGCATTGTGCTGCTAATAATTTGTTCATCCAACACATTATTTACTTGCCATGTTTGCAGCCAAAACTGTTATTTAAGAATATGAACAAGAAAAAGTTTTTACCACTTAAACCAGTCGCACCTTGACTCCAGATGGAGAGCCCATGGTCCTTAAGGAATTACCAGAGATAAACAAGCACCAACTACCCCCCTGAGGTGAAAAGGTGGAAAACTACAAGGAAAAGCAGCAAAAAGGAGGACTCTTTCTATAAAGAAGGTACTGAAGCTACATGAGGGAATTAGCAGAATTGGAACTGGCAGTCATTAAAAGGAAAAGAACAGAATAAAGACAGCCACTTAGAGCATTCAGGAACAGCAAGAGCTCAATCAGGTGAGCAGTCACTGTACACTGGTAAACTAGGGGCCAAGAAATAATTAGTCGGAGGAGAGTTAAGAGCAGAAAAAATGCTGGAGCAAACAGTAATTAAGTACTGTTCAAGGAACAAGCTGAACCTTAAATAAATTAATAATTCCCTGCTCATTGCAGGGGAGTTGGACTAGATGGCCTTTGAAGGTCCCTTCCAACCCAAACTATTCTATGATTCAAACCTGCGTAAGTTACCAAGTTCAAAAACTCTTCTGGTGAATAAAAGAAATCAAGACCATTACTGTGGGTGTTATGTTGGACTTTGAAGGGTTCAAGACAAATCTCCCCCCCCCCACCTCAACTTCAGAGGATAGAAATTATCTATAGACCCAACATGAAGGACAACCTTCTAACATTTGCTGGTTAAGATACAGTGATCCATATCTCTCCTCCACCTCTAAAACCTTCTAGGTTTTTATTAAAAGACATTAAAAAAATATAAAAAATATCCACAGAACCCCCTTTGCAACTCCCTTAACCCCCAGCAACTTTCTTGCATCATTTTTAACGAGCACAGTTACAGAATATCAGTAGTCTCATTTGTTAAGATCAAATGAGGTGAAAGGCACCAACAGAACATTCTTTAAAGACAGACGGACTAGTAGCTTATCTTAGGTAAACATACTGCCACACAGGAGAACAAACTACTTATATTTGTAAAGCTGGCAAGTGGACATATTACAAAAATGATCTGAAAAAAAATGCAAATACTTTTGTCCTTGTGTACCCTCTAGTGGCTGTGCAAGGTTACACTGGCCTCACTAGTTGAGAATTTCCTCAAAAGGACGGAATCAGAGTGCTTACCTCTACAACAGTTCTCTTAAATAGACAAATCTTCTTAAGATCAGGGCTCTAAACAGCAACAGTATGCATTATTTGAAGATTTAAGTTTACAACAAATTCTGCCTTGTTAGCTTAATCCAATGAATCTGGGTTTTCCACTTAAGAAGTGGTAAAATACATCAAGCAAGTATGCAGAACACGTGCCTGTGTTGCTGTGCCATGTATGCAGGATGCATGCAAACTGCAGCAACACCAGTAAGTTAAGCTGAGTATTAGTTCACCAATAGTCCTCTAAGGAGGGAAACAATCTGGTACACAGGTTGCAGTGACCACGAAAGAGCCACTTACATATGAAACAGCAATGAACAGCTCAAGACTATTGTACAAGGACACTTTAACCTAGAACAGGCCATTTTGCCTGTATGTACTGAAGAAGTGTTTTGTGCCAGGGACCAAAACTGTCCTCCAGCATAAGAACACTCTGCAAGTGAAGAGCTAACATTTGATTTAATTCGGCTTAAAACACAGAAGATTGTACAACATATACAAAATAAATCCACACACAAAAAAAACCCCCATCCTGCCCATCCAAACTCTGCAATGAATAAAGGATTTAGCGAATGTTGTAAAGTGCATTCTATTTTGTTGAAGGAACATGCAGCTGATGAAACAGGAAAATAACAGCAGCCAAAAGGAGAATATATAGATGGTAAGTTTATAGCAACTCCTATCTATTTCTTCATTAACCAAAGCAACAGCTAGCTGCAGCATTCAGATAAAGATACTAGCTGTTAAACACTGCCAGAAGAAGCACCTTGGGAACTGCTGCAATTTTCAGCTTTCAACATACACTATACCATTTGGGCAGGATGAAAAGTATTTCTGACATCTATCATTATGTTGTGCCATATAAACAAGGTACTTATAGTAATGACATGATGAAGGCACAGTGTGAGGTAATCAGATTATATACCAACACCTACATATTAATTATAAGAAAAAAAAAGATAATTCACATTCAAGATGAAGACCTTACAAATAATAGAATCCACATAATGAATGTACAACATGTCAGAAGTAAACTGAATTCCACGCTACATATACAATAAAATCCCTTTTAATAAAAAGGAACTTTTATATTCAGTACAGCATATAGAGTGACAGAGCTGTCTAGTCAGCCCTCCAGACAACTATGAAATAGCTTCCCTTCAGATACAGCAACAGAATTTGGCAGCAAGGAAGCTGGCGCCATCTTATAGATGGCAAATACAATTTTTTTCTGTACCTCAGATGTACATCAAAAAAAAGTTCCATGATCAGATAGCCTAGGTAGGTCTTCTTTTACACTACTCATCTGGATAATTTTTATACATTTAAGCAGAAAAAAAATTAAAATCTTTCTTTCTGTGTATTTACAGGCCAAATTTAAGAAAGTTTCTCCCTTTTCCATTTTTGAAGACAACACCTAAACAATTCTACTGCTTGTCATTCATCCCCATGCCTGACTCTTGCAGTAATGCAGTACAAGCTTGCCATCACTTCCAAAACACTACAAGAAAAAAAAAAGAAATCAAGATAAGGGCTGTTAGATTATTCACGGGCTAGCATATACATGAATCAAAACAAACAAAAAAGCCCCCCCACCAGATAACTGTGTCATAGAATAGTTACTGGTAACAAAGCTCTCCATCATAATGGGAGGCATGACAACATCCTGTACGTGAATGAATACATTTACAGGGATTGTATGAAGTCATGTCTCTCTAAATCATACTTATACACATCTGTCATTATCAACTACATTATATTAAATGTAAGAGACCACCAGCATAGCTAGGCATAGTAACAATTTTCAAGTCCCAGAAGTACACCAGCAAATTCTGCTAAGCACATTTGGAAAGGATGTTTAAGGAGAAAGTCACCTCATAGAGGGTCCCAACTTCTTGGTCTGGAGATGGAGCAAAAGACTGGTTTACATATATGAACTGGAAGAGAAAGAAAACAGAAGATGGAGAGCTCCCATACCTCTCACAGATTACACAGAATAAACATTCTCCTGCCAGAAGTGGGTAAACCTGTCCGCTGTTCACCGTTTATTTTATAATCTTTAGAGTCCACACCAAAATAGCACAAATTAGTATTTTTACTTTGGTGTGGAGGGGCAACATGACTTCCAGGAGCTACCTGTGACTCGCTGTCACAAAGCAAGCGTGCTGATTTCCTTCTGCTGCAAACTGACCCATTAGCCTCCCACACAGCAGCACAAAACGAACCTACTGTTTTGGTCTTTACTCTCATTTCAAGTATGCAAACCATTCCCACTATTCCAAATTTGCTCAGTTAGAACAGCAGTCACAGAAATTACAAAACTTTTTGTTCTATTCTAAAGTCAGCCTTCTCACTTCCTCTGCCAAACGTACATACATGCACACAGTAGTTAGTCCATAATGTCTAAGAGGGCCTTGGAATCTGCAGTGTGAGATAGTGATGTGTAGTACAGTAAGCTCTGCTATTTCCAAAGAGGAGTTATTAAATTCCTAGGGCTTTGTTCCTGAAGTATAGCTGTAAGCTTAAACCACACTGGAAGACTCCATGCTCCTATATTTCTCCCCCCCCCCCCGAGACAATGAGATGGGAGTTAATGAACTAAACTGTTGATAATACCTATGAACACTGTTGATAATGTCTATGAACAATAAATACCTGAACTATTAGTCTTCTTTGAGATACTAAGCCTTGGGGAAAAAAAACCAAACCCTTCAGGATTTCTAGATAAGAGAGATACATAGTGAAACTCTTTATGCCTATGTGCTTAAATCAGAGCCTGCAAACCAAGAACAGGGTGATTTAGTCTACACTTTGGCTACACATTTGACTGTTTTAATGAGTCCAGTTTTAACTTTACATCTTAAGTGAAAGCATTGAAATGCATGTATCCCTGTTAAGCACAAAAATAGTAAAATCATATCTCGGACTCTGTTCCAGCTCTTCCAATTTTATCAGAAGGCCACTTGGGCTGCACATGAAGGAACACATATGCAATATTGGTTATATGCTGCCAAACTGGGAATGTTTCCGAGGTACTCCATTTTAAAGAGAAGTCAATCCTACTAGTAAGAAACTGTTTGAAAAATTTTGAAGAAAACAGACATCAATATTCAGAACACCAACCCCAAACACTTTAGGCTTTTTCCCAAATACTTCTGTATGCCTGACTTCTACAATTACACTGTGCACATGAACCTTTCACTGAAATGCATCATTGCATTTCACACTGCACACAGCTCTGTGTGGCAGCATCAGACAAGAACAGACACTGCAAAAAGCCCACAGGTTGCATGGAGTTGAGCACCTGAGCACATCCAAACTGCACCACGATGGCTCATGTCAAGGCGCACAGCTGTGTGTATTTTGAATAGTTTTCCTGGTGTCCCTACACCAGCTGTATACCGAAAGCCGTGGTCTACAGCCATATAGCATCCCTACAAGGTGAAACAACCCGGCCTCAGGGTGTGCAGAGTTCCCTGCCACGGCTATTCCTGCCCTCCCCGGGATGTGTAGGCCAGGCTACCAGCTGCGCCTACCAGCTGCTCAGAGGCCATTAGCTTGAGGAACTTCTTGATGAAGTCGACGAGGCTTTGGATGGTGCGAGTTCGTTCCACGGCCCACTTCTTGGTCTTCATGATAGGGGTGTCGCCCACGGCCTTCAGCAGGACGTCAACTGTGGGGATGACCAAGCGTCAACACTGCGTCCCCACTGGCCGGAGCCACCCACTCGCCCCCTCCGATTGGCCAGCACACCTGCCCGTCATCCACAGACCCGCCCACCTGCCCCGGTGGTGGCTTCTCGCCCCCTTACTTTTCTTTTTCATGTCTCCAGGGGCCTCCTCGGTGCCCGGCGACCCGGCCGGAGGGGGGACTGCGTCAGCAGCCCCCGCCGCAGCCCCGCAGTCAGGGGCTTCTTCCCCGGCTTCGCTTCTTTCCTCGCTCTGAGGCGAAGCAAGCACCGGCTGCTCCTCCACTTCCGCCATCCTACTCCAGAGGGGAGCAGTCGCTCAGAGGCGGCGGAAGTGACTCTACACGGCGGGAGGGCTTATGGCTGCGCAAGGCGGTTTGTTCCTTGGGGGCCGCTGCCTTCCTGTCAGGTGACGGGGCGGGACGTTGCGCTACGTTGCTCGGCTTTGGGACGTTCAGCTGCTAACGGGTGCAGGCGGCGTGTTGAAGTGCGACCAGCTGCTGCCGCCCCGAGAGTGGGGCGTGAAAGGCGGGCAGGAGAAGGAGCAGGGGCAGCGAGCCCGGCGGCCGCCGCCCCACCATGATCAAAGCCATCCTCATCTTCAACAACCACGGCAAGCCGCGGCTATCCAAGTTCTACCAGCGCTATGTACGGGAGGCCGCGGCCGCGCGGGGCCTGTCACCAGGACTGGGGAAGGGAGATGTGAGGGGCGGTTGTAACCGGGAACCCTTCCGGCCCTGCCCGCCTGCCTGGGGTGAATCGTGGTGACTGCTGCTCCGCGATTCAGGGCTCAAGGCGTGGGGAAATGGGGGTGCTGGGGCCTTGTGAGACCTATCGGTAAGGGAAATGACATTCCAAAAGCTGGTTTTCCAGACACTGTGCTTTTCTCAGGAAATTGCGCTTTGGCACACTGAGGGTGGAGGAAGGGAGTCTCGCTCAGCGGCGTGGAAGCGCCGCGCTGCCGTGATTTTTAGCCTAATCGGCGTCTCTGGTGTAGTGCGGCATGTATCAGTGCTGTGGCAAAGGTGTCAGAAATGCGAAGATGGGTTTTGTGGGATTCACAGGTTAAATAAGCAGAGGCTCTTCCCTTGGAAACTTTCAGAATACTGTGAAAATATAGTTGACATGAAAAATAAATGTGATGGAATAGAAAAGTATATTCTGTTACTGGGGAGAAGGCAAGTAGCAAGACAGGTCTGAAAATGCAGCACAAGGGCTTGATCTGAATGGAAGTGCAGCCACAGAGAGTTGAGACGTGGAAACATTTGATGTCATTAAAGGATAAAAAAAATTGAAGGCAGTGTTTTTATTATGTAGTGTATCTGCTAGCAAATAAACTAAGCTCAGGGCATTAAACCTTGGGCATTAAAATAGAGAAAATGACTGATGCTTCCCCAGATTGTGTAAACAAAATATGCTTTTTCAGTAGTGCTATTGCTGACTTGGTTTTATGGCTACATACTTTCAGTTCTGGCTATTACAGAAGTCATATTTATTGGAAGGGGTGTATCTTCTGCATCTTGGAGCAGAAATGATAACTGTGACACTTCTGTTTGCACAGTCAGGCTTTTAATTGGAGGAGGGTAACTGACAGAGGTTGTTGCTATGGGTGACTGAATTTGATCCCTTTTCTTTAGAAAGGCAATACTGGGAAATACTAATACTTGTTTGTTAACCCGTTTTCTTCTTTGTCCCAGTTCTGGGTTACCAAGCAGATGTCTTTCTGTATTTACTCTTTCTGGTTTAAAAATTAAAATGTTATATTTTAATTTTGATGATAAGCATTGCCCTTTGTCACGGTTTAACTGAGAAGCCCTTAATAAGGGTCAGCATTATGCAGCAGGAACTAAAAATTGGTGTGTTAGCAGCATTGTTCTCAGACTAAAGCCAAAACACAGCCCTGCACCAGCTACTAAGAAGAAAACTATCCCAACCAAAATCATGACAACCTTGTGTGCATTCCCACTCTATTCTTGGTCACTTCCAATACAGAGCTATAGGAACTTACTAGAGAAGCTGATTGGTTTTTGTTGGTTTTTTTTTTTTTTTTTTGTCAGTGTGGAGGTAACCAATAAGTGAAGCACTTTGGAAAGGTATGCAGGACATGCATCAGTGTGAAAGTTAACTTCCGTTGTCATTTTCCATTCAAATGTGTCTACTTTTGTGTCTTTATAAAAATATAGCACATGGAACTAAGAAATTATGTGATCAGGTGATTTCCCTAAAGCTTTGTGGTGCACAGAGACCAGTGCAGTTATCTTGGTTATCTTTTTGTGTGTGGCTTCAGTGAGACAGGTTTATTTATGGACATTTTGAAACTTACACATACTTTAATATTGATTGAACCAGTACTGGAGGCAAATCTTATGTTGGTTTTTTATTTTCCTGCAAGTGGAAGCATCCACTTTCTGCAGTAGTTTCAAAGCATGTCTGAAGTTGCTCAGGATATGGTGGAGATAGGAAAATTTCATAATATTGAAGAAGACTTCCTGTTCACTTGAAGAAACTGGTTTTAGGATTTATTTTTCCTTAGAAGTTTTTTAAAAACAGTAACTTTTTTTCCACAGTTGTTTATCAGTAATGTATTCTTTTGTGACCTGCAAAAATATCAGTTTGTGCTGAAACGATAACAGTGATATGCAGCTTGTAAATTGGCAGATCTGAGGCTTCAGAAATAGTTTGAGGGTGCTATATACTTTGTGTTGTATTTATTAGATGTGCATGGTGTGCATTGTTAATGAATTCATTTTAGCTTGATAGCAAAATGTGTTTTCTTTCATAGAGTGAAGATACACAGCAACAAGTTATCAGAGAAACTTTCCACTTAGTATCAAAACGTGATGAAAATGTCTGTAACTTCCTAGAAGGAGGATTGTAAGTATAAATACCGGCTAGCAGATATAATTACTTCTGGTTGTAATATACTTGTTTGTACAGTTCTAATGTAAATGCCGTATCACTTGAGATATTTTAATACAGAAAGACTAATATGTTGCACATACATATTCTTTACTAACTGAAGCATACATATACATGTATGTATGTATGTATCAATATGAGTGAGGCAGTAAAACTGTTTTTTCTAGAGCAGTAACTGACACAGTGCCGTATCTAGCGCTATAATTGTTTCAGACACAAGATGGAAAAGAAACAGGCAGATGATACCTAACCATTTTCCCTAAATCAAGCTAGGAATTTCTGGTCTCCATTCAGAAACCAAGATTCTTTCATTAGATAGAGTAAGGTAGGAGGAAAGCCACATGTCTTCTGTGTCTGGAAGACACACACAAAATATTCTTTCTTGAATCATCATGTTGGTTTTTCTAATGTGGTTTTGCTTTAGTTGAAGAAATTCTGAAATGGAAGTGTTTTATTTTGAGATATTCGTCATCAAGATTAAATAGTTACAAAACCACTTTCTAGGAAAAGCGGTCACAATTCATAGGGTACGGTCATGGTCTCCAGTCTAAACAGAGATTGTCATAGCCTGTTAAGTACTGTAATTGTGGAAATTTCTGATAACTGAAAGTTAGTATGCTAATGCCTAAATTTAGTGCAGAGTCAGTTAAATGCTTACCTGTACCATATCAGATCAAGACGATTCCTGATTTTTTATATTTATTATTTTTTTAAACTAAAATAGTTCTCTTCCAACTGCGCAAATGTTGATTCTTTCTTTAGGTTCTTGGAGGTGTTTTCAGGCTGGAACATGCTGGCCTGAGTTGTGTAAGTGAAAGACAAGCCATTTGGAGCCTTTTAAAAAAAATCACAGCTGTGCAACAGAAAGAAACTAAGACAGAAGGCACAATTCTGGCTTTACTCCTATTGCTGAATTCCAGAGTTACCATATCAATATATTTTTTCAGTACTTTTTGTTTTTCCAGGACAGGGATCACTTTGTAGTTTGCACTTTATGCAAAGGCCTCAACAGTTTATATATACACTATGTGAACTGAAGTATTTGGAAGAATTGGCTAAATAAAGCACCAATGTGTGCAATTTCTTTCCACTGCCACATTTTTTTGTAATATTTTTGTCTGATACTTCTTAAACATAGTTCTTGCTCTTCAGGGTTCTCCCTCCCATCACCAGAGCATTAATGCAAAACAGTGGGCTAAAGCAAAAGTGACCTAAAAGATTTCTTGTTCTTTTTATTTATTTAAGTATTCTCTCCCTGTGATAAGGGGATGAGACATGGTACTCCAGATGGGTGATTCACTTCTGGTACAGGATTAAGGGAGAATTATTATATACATAGCCACAAGACTCAAGCTACTAAATATTTTCATTTCTCTTTGAGTGAGCCTCCTGTTGCTCAAAGCAAATGTCAGTGGTCTGAAGAAGCACATCTTATGATTTATGTACCTTCTTTGGGAAGGCTATAGCAGAAGAGTGGAAGGAAACACCTGTTCAGACCTCTTACCTTCTTGTTTAGTAACTTGATAATTAGTGAGTCCATAAAAATGTAATTGCTTCTGTGACTTTATCATTGTATCACAAGCTGTTGGTTGTAGTACAATGTTATTTCTCAAGATACCAAACATTTTGTAGCACTCGAGAGTTACGTGTTCTTGGTTATTAAGTGGATCATAAACCTGACCTAAGGCTATTTCTGTAATCCAAATGCCAGTCTGCGTTATAGTTTCCGATTGATGCTCCTCAGAGAAGGGCACTGAAGAATTCATAGACATGTGCTCTGTTAATCTGTAAAGCAGATTAATCCTTGCACGGTGCCTGTTAGTGTGTAATGGTAGTACATTCAATACTTCTTTTTTTTTAAAATTGCATTATCTTTTTGAATTGATTTTAATAAAATGGTGCATATGTTGGTATAATTAATATCCATATGGATAACAATAACTGTGCTTCTGTGATACATGTAATTTGGGCTGTTTGGTACCTAGTATTCTTCCAATGTAATTATATCACAAAATAAAAGTTGTGGTACAGTTGGGTTTGGGAAAGTTCCAGCCAACCATTAACAATAGGCCTCTTATTAACAGGAATAACTGTGAAGATTTGCCCAGCTTATCCTGAGAGGCTAACTAAGCTTTCCTGTTTTTTTTTTTTCCTGTTTAGATTAATAGGTGGATCTGACAACAAACTAATTTACCGACACTATGCCACCTTGTATTTTGTCTTCTGTGTGGATTCTTCAGAAAGTGAGCTTGGCATTTTAGACCTCATACAAGTAAGATATTTTTTCTGCTTTGTTTTTTTTTAGTAAGTGAACTATTAAGTACTTGAGAGCTTCAGTATTTAGCTGTGTTTTTTTCTGTGATACTTGGAAGTGAAGGTCGCTTTCATACTGTAAACACACATGAAATTGTT